ACCATACTATACAAGTTGACCTTAAACAAACAGACTGCCAGATATTTCTCTAGCAAAATGGGCTTATTTGGGAACACTGAAGAATTGCAATTTGGGACATGAAGTCTAATGGCAAAACAAGTGCAAGTACAGAGAAATAAACAAGAGGATCGCTCTTTTATGGACTTGGGAAGGGCTGTTGTAAACAAAGAGTCCAGTGGAGGAAACTGTAGGTTCGATGTATAGTGACTTTTCATTGACTGAATTGTGGCAGTCTCCTATTGGTTGAGCTGTTCCTGGACAAGGAAAAAATCTTCCTTCTGAGGTAGTAATGTAGTATCACTTCCTGTTGTGGTCAGTAGTGTGTGTTGGGTGATGTGTGTGAGAGTTCTCTCTTCTAGCCTCCTGGCTCCATTTTAAATGAGGTTTCTGTTTATTAATTTTCACACAATTCACCCTTTCAAAGTGTACAATTCAGTGGGTTTTAGTATATTCACAGAGTACCTAGTTTCAGAAGACTTTCAGCACCCCCAAAAAGTAACCCTGTACTCCTTAGCAGTCACCATTCTTCCCTCCCTGCTAGGCCCTGGAAACCACTAATCTACTTCCTATGGCTACAGAGTGCCTTTCTGAACATTTCACATGTGACTAACTGGCTTCTTTCATTTAGCAGGTATTCAAGGTTCGTCCATATTGTAGCATATTATCAGTATGCAATATTGTGATTTATAAGAAATATATATTTGGTCATTCAGATGAATGGGCTATGGAAGAATGCTTAGGGGGTTTTACAGCAGTAACTCAAACTCAACTTTTCAAACTGAAATAATGATGATTCACTGTAATCTGATCCTCTTCATTTTCATGTTATTTCCTATCCCTATCTCTACTCAACAAATACTCAACAAATTTAATGAGTTTGCCCACTAGGTATTAACTAGACAACTCCCTTCCATCCAATTGCCCAAGCCTAAAACCTGAGAAATCATCCTAGACCACTTCCTCATTCCCTACGTCTAATTGATATTAATTCTATCTCAAGTCAGTTACTTCCACCCAATCCCCTCCATCTCCACTTTACTGTCTTAGTTCAGGCCACAAATATTTGTCACTTAAATCCCAGCAACAATTTCCAGGGATTTCTCTACCTCTGGTTGCGCTCTCCCCTCCTACTTGTCCTCCACAGGGCTCTAGAGTTTATTTCTAAAACACAACTTTGATTACATTTCTCCCCTGCTTAAAAGTCTTGCAAGACTCCCCACTGTCTTCAGATAAATTCAAATTCCTGTGGAGAAACAAGGTTTGATGTTATGTTTTGATATGAATCTACTATCCTTTATTTTAAGCAGTCTGCAAGGAGAAAGCTAGATTCAAAGAGTACGTAGTTTTATGACTAACAAGAAAACCTATACACTATGTATATTAGCAGGTTATTTGTCAAAAATCTGGTGTGTTAATTGATAGCTTAGGTGAAAAAAATTCAATATCATATATTAAATTCATTGTATAGATTAAAGAACAACTGCAATGTACTATAACATATGTGTTATCAGCTTTGTGGTCATCACTTGCTTTGTAGTTAAAAGAAACATTCCTATGAGATTAAATTAAAACTTTGGCATTAAACAAATATGAAGGTACTCTTTATTACTCTTTAGTACTTTATAATAACAAGAGACAGAACCTATCATAATTAAACATAAATATGACATTGGCCCCACCTAGTCTCCCTTTGTTTATTATGTTTTTGTGTCAACAGAACATATTCTCTAATCTTCTCTTTGTTATCTTATTGAGAAGGAAAATAATTAGCACTAGCACGAGAGTATTGCAAATTTTCAATGTACTTGTTTAAACAAAATTACTTACTCCCAAGGGTTCTCATGAAATATTAACATGATCAATATTTTATTTTAATTTAACCCACGCAGAATAAAAATGGAAGATGAGTAATTTTTATTTCCACACTCCTTAGCTTGGCATGCAATGCTGTGGCCATAGCTTGCAGTTACCTGAAAGTGCCATGCCATTTACACTTTTGTGACTGTGGTCCCTATGCCAATCTTATTCAAGTCTTAAGGAAAATGCTGGTGCCCCAAAACACTTGGGTTATAAATGCATCTATAATACTTCATCCCACTTTGTGATTTGTGTCTATTGCCCCAACTAGACTATAACTTATTCAGAAGCAGGAATCATGTCGTTAATTTTTTTCTCCCCAGAGCCTAGCTAGGTGTCCAACACAAATGTTCATTAATTTGGAATAAGTGAATGAGTTTAAGAATGACTGAATGAACCATATCTTTACAGAATAGATCATCCTTTCACATGCTAAAAACATCCATAATAACTATAGGAGTTGAACTGGAAGGCAAGTCCATGAGGTAGGTGTCCAAGCTTACAAAGAACTTAAGAAGAGAGACCTAGGGCTGATAGATTACTTAAAGAGGATGATAGTAGATATAAGTAGTAAATGTAAAGAGGATGGTAAAAAGTGTAAGACTTGAAGGACAAAGGGGTTTTGCACCTAAGTGGATGAAGCACAAGGGGAAACCAACTGAATGGCAATACTGCCTCTTAGTGGCATTTGGGATAAAAAGCCTCTATACCAGAGCACTTTTACAGAATAGCTTTCTCACATTGAGTGGTTCTGGGCTATGAACTCTGTTAGACACCTCGTATTTTATCTCACTTAACCCTCACAACAACCCCTTGTAGACACATAGTATGCAGCGTTGGGGTTAAATGCACAAACTCTGCAGCCAGGCTGTCTGACTCTCCTACTTACTAGCTGTGTGACCTTGGACAAGTTACTTATCTGTATATTTCCCCATCTGTAAAATAGGGATAATATTTGTACCTAGCACATAGGGTTCTTATGAGTAATAAAATTTTTAAATGGTACTTGACAGCATAGCAAATGCTATATAAAAGTTAGCCTTTATTATTCCTTTTTTCCTGATGAGCAAACTAATGTTAAATAAATCGAGCAGGGCCGGCTTAGTGGCGCGTTGGTTAGGAGATGGCTTGGGACATCAGCTCTGAGCAGCAGGGCCTGGGTTAGGATTCCATATGAGGGTAAATGACGCTGCGCCCTCTACAGCTAAGATGGTGAACAACAGCTCGACCTGGAGCTGGGCTGCCGTGAGTCACCGGAGACGGTGTAGGCTGCAGTGGGGCTGGCCAGCAGCAGGTGTGAGTTTTCGTGAGCTGCTGTGAGCAGCCATCCAATGGCCGGCGAGCAACTGCCTCACCCGGGAAGAGCGCGGTGATAATACCAACATAGGCCAGTGAAGCGACATCCTGCACAACTAGACTGAAGAACAAAAGGAAAGCAACTTGTCTGTTCCCCTTCCCCGATTCCCCAATAAAATCTTTAAAAAATAATAATAAATACATACATACATACATACATACATACATCGAGCATACAGTAGTAATTCAATACATGTACCTTCCTTTGCTTTCTCCCCTTATGATTTAGCTCTTTAAGGGGTTATTCTCTTTAATGTGCCTGAAACTTAAATAGGGGACTCCCAAATAGCACAAAAAAGTCAGTTCTTAAAGGCAGCAATGAGGAAGTTGAGAAACCTCCATTAAAAAGTCCAGGGGAATGTGGTGCTAGAAAAGAGCACTCTACAGAGGCCTCTTGTTACTTTTATTATAGTGAAGACCTTCCCAGCAATGAAATTCACCCTACCTAAAATAGGATGCATAGGGATTGTGAAAATCAACTAAGATTTGTGCAGGAAGCCAGATTTCTGTGACTATTCAAAGTATGATCTGCCCAGAGCCCTTCTTTTACCATGTTGCCCACAGAAGCTGAGGGACTATAATCATTTTCAAGATTAGGCTAATAATAACACTACAGACTATTCTCTCCTTGCTCTCCCACTATTATTGTAAAAACAAAATTCATGAAAATGATGGGTTTCAAGTGACACAATACTGATGTGATTACTATGAGACTGTCCACCCCCGTCCCCATTTGAAATGAGGTATATCTTTACCAGATAGGACTGACTGACAGATCTGTACATCAATAGCAAACAGGCTCCTTGTATACTTGCAAAGCTCCCCACGATTCTGCAAGCTTCCTCTAATTCAAATTTTAGTATTCCTGGGTGTTCTATTTGAGAAGCTGAATATACAAACAACGGCCAGACCATATATAAAAACAGAACACTGACCCAAACCTGCAAAAGCCTACCCAGGAAACCAACTGCTTTATCTATAATATACAGCCCAGGAAGCCAGTTTGCTATAAATCAGACCGCATTCTCTAGTGATAGCCCAGGAAGCCAAACAATAACCCCTGTAATAACTGGTCCTAAATGGCCAGCACTAGATTAATAACTAGCAGCTTCTCTAATTTTTGTCTCCCTTTCCAACTTAGGACCAACCAGAGAAGGTGAAATAGGTACCCCTAACCAAATCACATAGGACACCCTGATCCTAGTTAGCCCACCTACAGCTTCCCCAAGCAAACAGCCTTGAATCAGGGCACACCTGAAACCTTTCTCTTTTTCTGCCATAAAGCTTTCCCACTCCTATGCCTGCCTTTGAGTCTTCTGCCAAAATGCAAGTGACGGTGGCTGACTCCCTTACTATATAGCCAACTCTGAATAAATAGTCTTTGCTTTTCTCATTTGGTTGAGAAATATTTCCACATAGTAATGGACCTAGTAATACCATGAAGAACTAATTTCCAAATCCTCTTAAAAGAATATCAGTTTGCATTGTTTAAATGTGTTATTTCTAAGATATTCAAAATTAGCGAACATCTTTTTTATTTCATCTTCATATGCTCAAGGGCTCGCTTTTCCGTAGATCTTCCTGGAATGGGCGCAGCCTCCTTTGGCCCACCTGAGCAGTGGACCATCGGTCTGAGCAAGTGAGCGGAGAGCCGGGGAGAGCCTCCAGCGCCAAGCTTTTAAACCCCGAAGTGAGGAACTACAATTCCCAGTGACCCCTGCAGATGTTGGGTCACGGTCACAACGCGCCTGCGCCGTGGCGGGAGCTCCGCCTATGCGGTTCCCGCCAATTCTTGCGGTAATCCTACCGGAGCTGAGTGCTATTCTCCATGGAGACGTTTGACCCCGCGGAGCTGCCAGAGCTGCTTAAACTTTATTACCGGAGGCTTTTTCCCTATTCCCAGTACTATCGCTGGCTCAACTATGGCGGAGGTGATGGAGGCCGGGAGCGGGATGAGTAGGTTGGGAGGGGAATGTGAGGAGGATACTTTGAAATGACAATATGAAGTGCCTTCTGCGCACCAGCCTTTGAGCAGGGCTCCTTCACGCATTATCTCTAGCCCTCCCCACCACCTGTGAGGTGTAAATGGGCAAGAGAGGATATAATGACCAGGCGACACACTGAAAGGCAGAGCCGTTGCTCCTTACCACTATGTGGTCCGACACTTTCGGTGTCCGGTTTACCTGCCTGAGCCAAGGGGATTACTGGTCGTAGGATGAAGCTAGAGGCGTGATCTGCATCAGGGACAGAAGGGCATCTCCCGGAAGAGGAGAGGTACTTAACTCTTCGCAGCTGAATTTATTACTGCCCACGGAGGAGAGAGATGGCATTACATAATTTAAGATATTTCTGCATCTTTTTCCTCATTTTTTTTTACCTTTCTCTCTGAGATGCCTTGTAGTAAATTAAACCTCTTCAAATTAGGGACTAGATCTTTTTTTTTTTTTTTACATGTAGCACAATGTTGGGCACAGAGGGCTCATTAAAAATATCTTCTCATTGGTTAATGGTATAATGCCCTGAGCTGAATAAAGTACCAAATTAACTTTAAAAATGTACGTTTATTTTGCAGTGATAAAGAATTACTTTCAACACCGTGAATTTTCATTCACATTGAAAGATGATATTTACATTCGTTACCAATCCTTCAACAACCAGAGTGATCTGGAAAAGGAGATGCAGAAAATGAATCCATATAAGATTGATATAGGCGCGGTATATTCTCACAGAGTAAGAAATCAGTTTGTTATGTATTTTGGTTTGTTTTTTTACACCAAGAACCCCTAGTGTTTTGAGACAAAATTTTTAGAATTTATTCTAGTTGAAGAGCCAGTTTATTTAACTGTTTTTGCAAGTAGATTGTAATATTTTTTGTTCTTTGATGCTCTACATTACCGACTAGAAGTTATTTGGAAGTGAATTGGTTGTATTCTCACTAAGACAAAGAAAAAAATTAGTATCTGGATAAAAGACTAAATGAGGAAGTCATTGTTTAAGGGAGGGAATTAAAAGAAAATTACATTCTCTCCCAGCATTGGAGTTATTCTTCATTCCTTTCACACTCCAATATCTGTTCTATTAGGAAATCTCTACTATAATAATATCTAAAATCCAACCATTGCTACCAGTACTGCTACCATCATCATCATCTCTCATCTGAATTACTGGAAAAACTTCCTAACTTTGCTTCTATAGACTCTAGAACCTATTTCTCAAAACAGCAGTCAGAGTGATCCTTTTTAAAACAAGTCAGATTCTGTGATTCCTGTGCTCAAAACCACTCAAAGTAAAAGCCCCTCTCCCCCTCACTCACTCCACTCCTGCCACACTGGCCCTTGTTCAGCAACTTTACTTCCTACAACCCATTTCCATAGGTATCTTGGTTCATTCCCTCACCTCCTTCAAGTTCTTACTCAGTGAGGCCTACTGCAACCTGCCACTCCTACCCGCTGCCATTGATATATTCTTAGTGCCTAGAATAGTGCCTGGCAGAGAGAGTACACCATAAATATTTGTTGAATGAATGAACATACCAAAATTGCCCTTCTTCCTCTCCTTAAAAATGCACCCATGGGGTAATAGCTTTTGTGTGGAACTTTTTCATATGTTGTATAACTTGTTTTTCATATCAGTTCTCATTATTCATTTTACAAAGAGAAAACAGGCCTGGAGAACTTAAATAATTTGCCCTGGGTCACACAATTTCTAAATGCTAGAGCTAGGACCTGAACCCAGGTTTTCTGACTCTAAATCCCCAGGGAAGGGGAGATGAGGTAAGAAAAGGCAGGCAGGAAAAATGTTTTGGAGCAGTTTACTCCTCTTTAGAGGTGGAGATTAAAACTGAAGTCTCTATAGAAAGGCCAGCGTATCACTCTACTCCCCACTAACACTGATCTCCAGCCTTCTGATCTCCAAGCTGGACCAATTGCTTTTTAAGCCTGATGGCTAAGTATGATCTTACTGGTTTCTTTTCACCTCTCTCTGTTGATCCCCTGTTGCCCAGATCCTGTTCTCTTTTTTGGTTTACTCCCTTGTTTTGATGGAGCACATTTTCCGGGAGCTTCCTGAGAAAGGGCATATGGAGGTCAAAATATTTCATACCTTCTGTATCTGAAAATGTCTTCATTCTACCTTAACGCTTAACTAATGGTTGAGTGTAAATCATTTTCCCTCCAAATTTTGAAGAGATTGCTACATTATCTTCTTGTTTCCAGTGTTGTTAAGACTAATGCCTCAGAATGGCTTGTTCCATTGTGTTGGACCTGGAAGCTCTTAGGATTTTCTGTCTATCCCCTCTATCTTTAATGTTCTAAGATTTCACAATAATGGGCCTTGGTGTGCAACTTTTTTCATCTATTATGTTAGATATTTAATGAGCCCTTATGATCGTGAACTAATGTCCTTCAATTCTGGGAAATTTTCATTGTGGTTTTATTTTTAATATAATTTTTCCTACCTATTTTCTATGGTCTCTCTAGATATTCTAAAGTCAGATGTTACATATCTTAGACTGGTCCTCTAAGTCTATTTTTTTCCTTCTTATTTTCTATTTCTTTATCATTTTGCAGGATACCCTGCCAGCCCTGTCCCTTTGCATAATAATGCCACTACCCTGGTTTTTCTCCACCATTGCTTTTCCTAAAGCTGCCTCCTTCTCCATCCCATGGGATTCTTTCATCCCTTAGTTTTCTTTTTACTCTGTCTCCCACTCCAGATCGCCAGGATTCACTCTTGCCTTTTAATTTCTTGTTTGTTGTTTTTATATAAGAATAGAGTACTAAAAGCTGATTGGAAGCTCTGTACAAATGGCTGAGATTTCTTTTTTTTTAAGATTTTATTGGGGAAGGGGAACAGACAAGTTGCTGTCCTTTTGCTCTTCAGTCTACTTTTGGAGGACGTGGCTTCACTGGCCCATGTTGGTATTATCATTGTGCTCTTCCCTGAGGCAGTCGCTCCGCAGCCATTGGACGGCGGCTCACGGCAGCTCATGAAAGCTCACTCCCGCTGCCAGCCAGCCCCACTACAGCCTACACCTTTGCCGGCGACTCAGGCAGCCCAGCTTCAGGTCAAGCTGTTGTTCACCATCTTAGCTGTAGAGGGCACAGCGTCACTGGCCCTCATGTGGGATCCGAACTGGGGCACTGCTGCTCAGAGCTGGTGTCCCAAGCCAACTCTTTACCAATGCGCCAATGCGGCCCCCGAGATCTTTGCTACAGGGTGATCTGGCTGGGCCATTTTCTTGGAGGGAAGGTCTGATGTCAGTTTCTCTATATCTTTGCTGGAATAAAAACTATTAGCATAGAGATGTTTGTTTTGATCACTAATCTGTTCCTAGAGCCTATAACAGTGCCTGACACACCTGGTCAGATTCTTCAGGGGAATTCTTCCAGTCTTCTGCCTGGAGTGCCAGTGGAAGAGTATAGAAGTGGGGGGAGAGAGTAATTACACTCCACTTGTAATTGTCCGATTAATCCCCTAAGTATCAATACAAACGACCTTCTTCAGCTGTGCCTGTTGTTAATCACAGACACACACACACATCCAGAGACCCTCTGTTTTATGATTTCCAGATAATAATTCAGGTTTCTCTGCCAGGGAAATGGAAGCACAGTTGACCAGCTCTGCAGAGTAAGTGTAGGAATCTGAGAAACTCAATGCTTCACAAATAGATTTTTAACCAGTCCTCCTATTTTTAATCTCAGCTTCACAACCACATTCACTTACTCACTTCAGAGATACCCACATTGTCACCTATTCCTGAATCTTTTGGGAATTCTGAGATGTAAGTTGGGTTGCTTATCTTTCCTTAATGAGAGCTTTTGTGGGTCTCCTTATAAAAATCGTTTTTGTGCAGGTTTGGATGGAGTAAAATAAGTATCTATTCAGTCTGCCTTCTCTACCTGGTAATCCATAGCCTCAAAGGATGCTACTTACAGGTTGAGCCAAAGGCTCAGTTCAAACTAATTGGGGAGATCTTTTTGAATTACTGAAAAATTTAAAATACATTTTTGTTACTTATATGTCCAGCAACAAATAAAGGTCCTTAAGAACTCCTCGCAATAGGGCATTAATTAATTGGATGTACTTTTCCTTATCAGAAACCTAAAAAAGCTTTATTATTTCTGTTGATCAACAAATATTATATGATGTTATATGTCAATTATATCTCAGTAGAACTGGAAAAACAAATATTTATAGTAATATGTATTTACCAAACCCTGTTGTAAGTGGATGAAAGTTACACTGATGGGGCCGGCCGAGTGGCTCAGTTGGTTAAGAGTTCGCTCAAGAGTGTGAGCTCTGAGCAATAGTGGTTTGATTCCTGGCCCAAGCTGAGTTGCTGCTGAGCTGCCAACAGGTGGCAGGATGGCTCAGCTAAAAAAAAAAAAAAAAGTTATACTGTCATCAATTCTGGTTACAGAAGATATGAATTAATGAACTTTAACTGACATCAACTTGGCATTATATGGTTTCTTCACTTCTCTTTGGCCACTTTTTCTATGTGGACAGAAAATAAGCATATTTGGCAGCATGGCAACTCTTATAGAAATTGATTGATATTTTATACTTGTAGCCCAATCAACATAATACAGTGAAGCTGGGAGCTTTCCAGGCTCAGGAAAAAGAACTGGTGTTTGACATTGATATGACAGACTATGACGATGTGAGGAGATGTTGTAGGTAAGGACCACATGCCTTGCTGGTAGGGTGGGTGATATAATTGACAGTGATTAATGATGACTGTGCTCCAGTTCTGCAGACATATGTTCTAAGTGCTGGACCCTCATGACCATGGCCATACACATCATCGACCGAGCATTGAAGGGCAAGTACTGGCATTGTCTAAGTGAGGTCAAATACAAGAATCTGTTTTCTTCAGAATATTAGTCTATCTATACCTTTTTATAATCAAATCTCATAAATCTCTAACATGTTTTCTTAAAAACCTATGATAGAAAAATAAAAGATTAGAATAAAGTTATAGTTGAAACTAATAAAGCTGTGATCAAACCAGTGAGTTTCTTCCTAATTCAATCATCTGTTGAGCAATTGTGTGTGCTAGGTACTGTCGTAGATGAGGGAAATATGAAAGAGAACAATTCTTACCTCAAGTAGGTTATGCAGTCTAAGAAGGAGACAAATAAGAAAATTAAGGATTATACTTGTGTTAAGTAATATGCACAGGGCGCTATGGGGATATAGAACAGCAGGAGTGCATACAGGAATGGGAAGAGATTAGATCAGAAAAGGCATCCTAGAAGAGGTGATGATAGGATGATAATGATAATTAACTCTTATATAGGGGGCTTATATGCTAGGTACTGTTTAGGGCACTTTAAATTATTAACTCCTTTAATATCCCTAGACTGGCTCTTTAAGGATAAATGGCAATTGGTCAGAAAGAGAAAGAGAAATGCTGGGGCAGGAAGAAATTCTTGACAGAGAGACCAGGATAGATAAAATCATGAAGGCAAGAACATGGGGTTGGAAGGGGCCACAGGAAACGACAAATAATGTAATATAGTTGAGTATATGTGGATGAGGTAAAAAATGAAGCTAAAAAAGTAAGCAAGAGCCAGTAGTTTATAGACCCCTGTTTTAAAACCTGTTATGTCTCCTCCTCAGAGGACTTTGGATTTAAGCATCGCCTTTGGGTATATTCTGGAAGAAGAGGTGTTCATTGTTGGGTCTGTGATGACTCGGTTAGAAAATTGTCCTCCGCTGTTCGTTCGGGGATAGTTGAGTATTTGAGTCTTGTAAAGGTAAGATCTTCTTAATGATAATTTTCATTTCTTTTTTTGCTAGATGTTACCAAGCCTGGTATGTTTAGTAACAAAATTAAACTGTATTTTATAGCATCCACATTCCAGTTCAGGTGATCTTACCGGTAGATCCATTAAAATCATAGTAGCTACGTTTTTTTAAGATATTTCATTTTGTTGTAAATATCCTCCTTTGTGGCAAAAGAAGGGCTAGTTTACTTTTCTAGTTCAATTATATCAAGTCAAGTTAACCCAGAAATTTACAGGTATTGGGATTATAAAATAGCATACAAGCTTATGTACTTTGACAGAATTGAATCAGTATCTTTAGAACACAGAGAAAATTTTTTTTTTAATCTATGTAATATAATATACATGAAAGTCTTTTTTTGATGGTTTATTTTTCAGGGTGGTCAAGACGTTAAAAAGAAAGTTCATCTAAGTGAAAAAATGCACCCTTTTGTCAGGTCTGTTGGTAAAAACTCCATGCAGTTTAAATTGTGTCCAATTTACCTGCACATGCTTGTAGAATTACTTTGTTGTCAATTTTCTCTGCTGGGGTAGCACTTTACAATAATAATAGCTAGAGTTAATTATCTATTTTAAGCAGTAGTGTTCATGATAGGTGCTTTCCAGATGTTCTCATTGGTCTTCACAACAACCTCATGAGGTACATGATGGTATCTCTACTTGCAGGTAAATAAAGTGAGATTTGGAGAGGTTGTATAATTTGCTTGGCATCACACAAGTAATCATTAAATTCAGGATTCATGTCCTGGTCTGCCTGATACCAAAACCCATACTTTTTCTATTGAATTCACTACTTCTCTAAGTGGAAAGAGCACTGCATTAGTAGTAAGGTCCCTATTCTGCCACTTTCTATGACCTTGATAAAATATTAGAGCCTCCATTTCTTTATCTGCATAATGGGAAGAATATCATCTGCTCCATCTATCTCAGAGTTGTGGCAAAGATGAAATGAAACAGTAAATGTGAAGTCTATTTGCAAATTGCTAAGCACTATATAATTGTTGAACTATTAAAGCAAGCAATTCAGAGTAGAAACTGTAGATTGTATCCCACATTCTACTATTGATGTATTATTTTGTTGTCCTGAATTGGTTGCTTTTCACCCTTGTTACATATTTATGATGTTATTAACCTTCTAAGTTGTGGAGTTTAAGAGGTAAACATTTCTTGAATATCTATTGTAAGTCAGGTACTATGTTAGGTTCTTCTCCCTTAGCGTGTCTCATTTAATTCTCATAACCCTGTGAAGGGGTAGTATTCCCATTTTACCTAGTTAAGTCCTAGAACTTCAGTGAAAATAAGCGCTAGCCTCCCAAATGACAACAAAAGCTATGTGGGGTATGTGTTGCTAATAGTATTGGGACTTTGTATTTGTTATTCCTACAGAAAATCTATAAACATAATAAATAAATACTTTGAAGAATATGCCTTGATTGATCAAGATATTCTTGGAAATAAAGAAAGCTGCGATAAGATTTTAGCCCTTGCTCCTGAAAATATCCTTTCCCAAGACCATTTCTATATGAGTTATTTGTGTACTTGTGTTGATCTGTGTTGTTATGTGTTCTGCCTACATATTCTCATGTATTTTTTTTTTTTTAGCTGAGCCATCCTGCCACCTGTTGGTAGCTCAGCGGCAGCTCAGCTCAGGCTGGGACTCGAGCTGCTGTTGCTTAGAGCTCACTCTTGAGCGAGCTCTCAACCAACAGAGCCACTTGGCCGGCCCTCATGTACTTATTCTTATAAGTTTAATCTTTTTTATATAAAATATCTCCTGTATTTCTGCATTTTTGTATCCCTATCCTGGAATATAATAAGACAAACCATTTTATAAATATTCTCATTATGGAAGTTGACTTTCTTAGAATTAATGGCTATTTAAAGAAAGCCGAATCATTTGGTCAAAATACTTACAGACCAGGGAAAGATTTTACATTAAACTGTATTGTTATTTTGGCATTCTTTGTCATATCACTACTGTATTTTTATAGGGGCATTTTTTAAGGATATGTATTTAATATTTGCATTTAAGAAAACAATAATTACTTTCTATATAAACTTTAGATATCCTTCTGGTAATACATACGGAAAGTAAGTTGTTCATTGATGTGCCTTAAATGAGTATGTTCCTTAATGACCAATCACCAATTCATGATAAACTTCAACAAGCCTTCCAAAGGCATCACAATTCACTTCAGCGTTGGGAACAATTGAAGAAAATAGCCAGAAGTCTGGTATATTCCATTGAAATCTGTATTACAAATATAATAATGTAATCTTAATTAAATGCTGATTATTTTGCTTTTTAAGATGATTGAAGATCACTGTTTAATGCTTTTAAAGAAATCCTCAAAAGTTCCTACTGATCCTCATGTTAGACTTGCATCTGCTTTTAGAATAACATCAAAAATGACAAATGTGGATCCTATCTTGAGTGGGAGATCATGCTCCAGTACTGTTTTCCACGACTGGATATCAATGTTAGCAAAGGAATCAATCATTTGCTGAAGAGCCCTTTTAGTGTTCATCCTAAAACAGGTACTATGTAAAGAAAGTAAGGAAAACTGAAAGAAAAATGAAAGTTGTTTTTTGTTTTAACAAGCATGTCATTGGGTGTGAATATATATGATGTCTGATATAAAAGGTTGAAGAATTGTTCTGTCAGCTAACACTTAAATTAACATATTTTTAAATTGTTGATTAGTAGCTACCAGATGAGTTTCTACTATGTAAATAATTTTCAGTTGGGTTTCTGAGGTTCAGTGTTAGAATTAAAGTTGGAGAGGAATTTAGAAATTACAGGACAACAGCTCTTATTTTACAGATGAGGAACCAGTGGCCCAAGAGATTAAAGTGACTTGTCCACAGTTTTAAAACGAATTGTGTCAGAACTAGGAACAGAGTTCAGTTCTTAAAACTCAAAAGTTTTGTCCTTTTTCCACTATGCTGCCTCCCTCGGTGTTTTTTCAATAGTTTTAGCTTTCCTGTTTTACATTTCTCTTAGATAAGATTTGATGGACTGAAACTGACTAAATATAAAAGTGGCTATATTGGCATACTTAGTTCCATCAAGCCAAGGGACATAATAGAGAAGTATATAGTTCTTTCTAATGTCAACAACCAACTCTGCCACTCACTGTGGGATGTTAGGCAAATTACTTCTGTGCCTTGATTTTCTCATTTGTAAAATGGAGATAATAATAGGACCTATCTCAATGGGTTATTGAGACGATCTAAACTGTAAAGCACTTAGAAAAGTATCTGTCACACATTCAATTCTCCCAAATTGCCTAGTTTCCTTTAATAATCTGTAGTCCCTACATTCATGTAGCCCTTTTTAAACCTGTCAACTATGTTTTTAGCTTCTTTTGGTAGTAAGTTTAATATTTCTTAATATTTATTTTAAGCTTAATTCTAAAGCTTCAGTGGGTATCCCCTTATTCTAATATTCAAGTTTCGGATAAATAATTATCTTCATAAGTATATACATTTTGATTATATCCTTTTCCCATTAAGTAGCTGTAGTCTTTTTTTAATGTCTTCAAACAGCAACTTCTAATGTCCTTAATTATTTTTTTACTCAGTTGGCATTCTTTAGATTCATTATCTCATTTTTGAGATGTGATGAATTTTATATAGTATCCCAAGTGTGGATATTATAAAAGGGTAGTATAATGTTATCTATTTTATTTCCAAAATGCTTTCTAAAGATGCCCAACATATAGGTATATATTTTGATCTCAGCAAATAAACCAAGGTAATGAAATTAACTATTTCCATCTAATTCATTCTATTTTCAAGGCTCACTAAATGTGAGATCATTCTGTACTTAATATAGGAGGATATAAGAAAGGAAGGAAGGAAGGGAGGGAGGGAAGGAGGGAGGGAGGGAAAGAAAAAGAGAGAGAGAGAGAGAGAGAGAGAGAGAGAGAGAGAGAGAGACAGCCGGCCGAGTGGCACATTGGCTTGGGATGCCAGAGGGCCCCGGTTTGGATCCCACATATGAGGGCCAGTGACACTGCCCTCTACAGCTAAGATGCTGAACAACAGCTCAACCTGGAGCTGGGCTGCTGTGGGTCGCCGGTGACAGTGTGGTCTGCAGTCCCCTGCTGCAGTGGACTGCCATAAGCTACCATGTGTAGCTGGCAGCCAGCGTGAGCAGCCATCCAGAGGCCAGCGACTGATCTGCCTCACCCAGGAAGAGCGCAATGATGGTGCCAACTTGGGCCAGTGAAGCAGCATCCTCCACAACTAGACTGAAGAACAAAACAATAGCAACTTGTCTGTTCCCCTTTCCCCGATTCCCCAGCGCTGTTCCCCTCACCCAATTCCCCAATAAAAATCTTTTAAAAAAAAAGAAGAAAGAAACATGTTGCAGAAATAAAATAATGAGAGAAGGAGTTTGTTTAAAAAAAAAAGAAAAAAAGAACGGGAGGAAAGAGGGAGGAAAGGAAAGAACTAATAACTCAACAGTCTTTCATACCTATTTTTTGGTGTGTGTTTTTTTAAGAGAAATAAAAGGCACAATTAATGTCAAAGTACTTTTAATTTATATTTCTAAATATTGTTCTTAACAGAAAAGTCTAAACCTTAGATTAAAATTTAGCCAAAAGTAACTTGTAGGTGGCAGCCTATAACAATTTGTATTTCACAATCATCCATTTATAACTTTTGGTTCTTCCAGGTCGAATTTCTGTGCCTATTGATTTACAGAAAGTGGATCAGTTTGATCCATTTACTGTTCCAACTATAAGGTATGTTCCAGATCATTGATCACTGTTTTTGTTTGATTATTACTCTGAGTTTGAAGTGGATTGGATAGATCTCTTCCAGAGAGGCAGATGCTCTAAAGCTGTATGATGATGCCCTGTAGAGCAACACTTCCTAGTGAGTCCACAGAGCACAAGTTTTTTTCAGCTGCTATTATGCAAGAAAAGGATTTTTAAGTTCAAATAAGTTTGGGAAGTGCTGACTTAAACAGATGAAAAGTTCTTTATGCAAGATTTCCCAATCTTTAATATGCTAATATGCATGGAAAACTCCAGGAAGAGATTATGGCTTTTAGAATATCTCAAATTTAGTTGGCCGCATAATTTTTTCACAGAAAATCTTATGGAATTCATGTGCTATGATACACTGGGTAATGCTGACCAAGAACCAACTTTAAAATTCTCTTATTCTATTATGTGTAGCTCCATCTGCCATGAATTAGATGCCATTTCCAATAATGAAAACGAAAAAGAAGAGAACAAAGCTGAATCCGATATCAAACATAGAACCAGAGGTAGGTTAATATATTGAAGTCTCACTTTAACGTAAGCTTTTTATATAGACATCCTTCTGTCGTTCCAGTAATTAATTCTCCTTGTATTCAACCCAGAATGGATCAATGTTTATCCTGAAACCAGAACAGTAACAAATATTACAGCAGTATTTCTTTTCTTTCTTTAGCAATTGCCCAAATGTTTCTGTTTAATCCAATTTGAGTCGTCAAATATTTACTAAGCAATATCTAAATGCCAGGATCTATGCTGTAAGATCAAGTTGTTAATTGGTACTGATAGTTATTTGCATCTCACAGTTTAGATTCCATAGCTATTTATTTAACAACTACTATGTATGCAGTACTTTTATTCTTTGATGTGTCCAGATGAGTGTCATCATAAATATACGTAAACTGTGATTGAATTGTATAGTCAATAATTTGAAGGAGCTGGGGAATTTATAAATCTTCCTGCTAATGGAAGTCAAATCTTATACCAACACCCTAGAGATACTTTGTAGTAATTGAATCCAATAGCACTTTCTGTGATGATGGAAATGTTATGCACTGCCCAATATGGTAGTCACTAGCCACATGTGGCTTCTGAGCACTTGGAATGTGGCTAGTGACTACTGTAACGGACAGTATAGATCTGTGGCTAGTGACTACTGTAATGGACAGTATAGATCTGTGATCTCTGATTGACCTTTTCTGGTCAACTATTGCTACCCTTCTTTCAAAACCCAAGCTGAAATATCACTTCATCTATCCCGGCTCTAACATAATACCTAAACATAGTACATTCCATTATTATGTTTAAAGAGTAATTACAAGTATTCTGTTTAAAACATTTGAAAAATGTCTCCAACATGAAAAATCAGAATAAGCTGGAAAAAAGAACTCAGGGAAAACACAATGAAATGAACAAAGGAAACCTTTAAAAAAAAAAAAACTAATATCCCCAGAGAATAAAAGATAGTGTATCCATGAAGTAAGATCAGAATGCTATGAAAAAGAAACACTCATAAAACAAGAGGTCTTAGAAATCAAAAACATAATCATTAGAATAAAAAGTTCAATGGAAGAGTTGGAAAAGAAAAGTTGAGATTTCCCAGAAAGTAGTACACAAAAGATAAGTTTGTTGTTGAGGCTGGTGGTTATTGTTTTAAGGAGGAAAAAGATAAAACTAGAGGGAGAACTGCTTCAGGAGGTCTATTATCTGACTGTGGGAGTTTTAGAAAAAGAACAAATAAAACAGGGAAGAAATAATTGTCAAAATTACATAGGAAAACATCCCCAAAATGAGTTTTTTATTGAAAGGGCTCAGCATAATAGGAAAACAGACCTATACCAAAGCACATTGTTTGAAATTTCAGAACAGTGAGAATTCAGAAAAGATCTTAAGAGATTTCAGACCCCATACTACTTCCCCTCCCCCCACAAAAGCCACAGACCTAGGAAGAATAGCCTAGGATTTCTAAATAACAATGGAAGTGTTCATTTGTTAGAAATGAAGGTTAGAAAAGAAAATAAGTGTTGCCATTCAAGAGGATGGAGAGGTCAGAATTAGGGCAGGGAACTGATACTTTTTCCATTATAAACCTGTTAGTACTATTTTATTCTTTTTAACAAAGTATATGTTACTTTAACACAGTTTTTTAAATTTAATATAGTCTCTTTGTGTCTAATACAATAGCCATATGTAGCTATTAGCACTTGAAATGCAGCTAGTATTAACTAAGGAAGTATTTTTTTTAATTTAACTAATTGATTTAAACTTTAAAATTGATACTTGATTATATTATTGGAAAACTTACGTATATTTGGAAAATTTGGGTATGTGAGCCTACTTTTTCAACTGTATATAATTTAAATAAATATAGATCAAGTATTTCTGATACTGTAGCATCTAAACTAAAATGTACTTTAATTTTAAGTACAAAAATACTAGATTTCAAAGACTTTTTTTTTTTTTTTAAGCTGAGCCATCCTGCTACCTGTTGGCAGCTCAGCGGCTGCTCAGCTCGGGCTGGACTCGAACCGCTGTTGCTCAG